TACCGCATGCAGATGTGGTTGCCCTATCTCAAAAAAGATATTTTGGAATTGGAAAAGCTTCAGAAAAGGTCAAGAAAAAAATATTAGGGTATGCAATGGGTGCTGTATGAGGAGACATTAATAAGACTGGGACTTTTCAGCTTGGAAAAGAGATGACTAAGGGTGGATATGATAGAGGTCTATAAAATCATGACTGGTGTGGAGAAAGTGAATAAAGAACTGTTATTTACTCCTTTTTCATACCACAAGAACTAGGGGTCACCAAATGAAATTAATAGGCAGCATGTTTAAACAAACAAAAGAAAATATTTCTTCACACAATGCACAGTCAACCTGTGGAACTCTTTGCCAGAGGATGTTGTGAAGGCCAAGACAAAGAGTTCAAAAAAGAACTAGATTAATTTATGGACAATAGGTCTATCAATGGCTATTAGCCAGGGTGAGCACGGATGGTGTCCCTAACCTCTGTTTGCCAGAAGCTAGGAATGAGTGACAAGGAATGGGTCACGTGATGATTACCTGTTCTGTTCATTCGCTCTGGTGTACCTGCCATTGGCCACTGTCAGAAGACAGGATACTGGGCTGGATAGACCTTTGGTCTGACCCAGTGTGGCCATTTATATATTTTTATGTTCTTTATATATACTGTGAACATCAATGGTCCAAGGACTGACGCCTGGGGGACATGTTCTTTAACTCTCTCCGTGTGGAAAATTGCCCCTTTATTCGTACACTTTGTTTCCTATCTTTTAATGGAAGTGCCTGTCAATGCTTCCAGGATCATCTAATGATCCTTAATTTAATTTAATGACTTCAGGTAGGAAAATGGGGGGGGGCCTAGAACCCCCGCCAGCTCCCCTAAATGGCACCCCTGCCCAGCTGGGTGCTTTCCGCTCCCAGGCTGGGATGGGAGCTGCTGCAGCCTGAAAAGGAGCCTCCCCGCAGGTAGGAGGCAGCCCCGGCTGACCAGGGGCTGGCTTGGGTTAATGACCCGATGCCTCCCCCCGTCCTGCAGTAACTGGACACTGCCAGGTTCCATTTCCGACTCGACTTTCTGGTTTAAAACTAGGTACCTGGCAACCCTAAATGACACCCAGACACAGAAGCCAAAAACCAGATTGTATGGGCAAAATCGTGATGATGTGTGCCTTTATTTCTTAGATAGCCAACTTTGTAGAGAGCCAAGTTCAACAAGGACAAGTACAGCTGGGTGCGTCCCTGCCTGTCAAAAACTGCATACGTGCAAGACCTGGAGAGGATTGCAGCTTGTCACAGCCTCACAGTGTCAGTGGGGCTTCATACTGGTATGCCAGAGGGCTTGGCGGTACCCCAATTCCAGGTTGCACCATGCAGAAGTCATCACACCCACCCAATGAACAGGCCCTGGGAGATTGTGAGTCCATTTCCCGTTTCTAGTGCACACAGTTACTGATGGAGAGACCGTTGTTATAGCCGGGAAATCAGGACTCCTGGGTTCTGTCTGTTATTCTCTGTGTGACTTTGGCCAACTCATATCTCCCTGCACCTCAGTTTACCAATGGGTATAATGGGGATATGTATATGTTCATAGTGACTTTCCTTTGCTAGGTGTTTTGAACATCCATCAATGAAAGTTTCTACGCTGAATGATGATAATTACTGATGAGAATTACTGATCTCTGATCCCTTAGCCACAGCCCCATGTGCCAACAGAAAGTGTTCATGTCTCCCATCAGTCATCTTTCTCTAGCTCTGTCTGTCTACTACTGTTTAGCCTGGGCATTTACACAGTATCAGACCCAATGGGACCTAGGCATTATCCCTAGTTTTTTTAGTAATCAACAATAATTTTTAAATATACTCAATTACAAAGAACAGGTAATTCCTCTCTTACTCAGTGAAGAGCCCAAGGGGTCTCAACTCCCTCTGGGAAGGTCCCTTAATTATTGTTTACTGCTAACGCTGGATAACAAACACAGAAGCATGGACATAGAGAGAGAGTCATTGGGTAGAGTGTCTCTAGTCTCCAGCCTGTTTACATCCAGATGCCACTTCTCCCCAGAGGCTGAGCAAAACCCACTGGAATTGCATACAGCTATATTTAAACGGTGAACACCCCTGTTTTGTCTATTAGCGTGGGATTCTGCTGCAGATGCTGGGGTCAGAGAGGTGCAGGACACAGCCACTGGAGGGTGATTCCCAGGGAAGACACTTCCATCACAGAAATCACAGGTACCCATCTCTTTCTGTTCGACATGCGCAGTGCAACGTGCGCATGATGGGACAGGGAATAGGTCTGTAGTCATTTCCACTCTGCCTGGGCGTTAAACATCCCACAGCCCTTTCCACAGCGGATGAGTTTGCTCCAGTATCAGGGGCCAAAATGTTGCTAGGACTCCTCACTAGAATAAATATAACAATTTTTCAACATGGGCAAGACATCATTTCTCCTGCTGCATTCGAGAAGTCGGCTGAACCGTTATGCCTTAAACTTTCAAAATGCAATTCTGCTTGATGCAGACAACCAACATGGGAAATTTCAATCCATACAGTTACTATTTGGCAAATGCATAAGCATCTTAAATTGCGGTCTTCTCCTTGAAGTTGTCAGACAGCCTTAACTAACTGTGATGCCACCAGCACCACTTACAATGGCCAATTCATTTGTGAATCCCATTCAGCTAAGCTCTTTGCTCCACTAAGAGCTGTAGTAAGGAGTTCCACAGGCCAAATATGGGTTATATAAACAATTTTCTTTTTTCAGTGTTATATGTTCAGACTATTAATGTAATTGAATGTTCCCTTCTTCCTATTTTTTGAGATAGAGCAAATATAAATGCCTGATCTACTTTCGTTATCGATAGATTCATAATGTTCAAGGTGAGAAGGGACCATTAGATCATACAGTCTGACCTGCATAATGCTGGCCACTAAATTTCACAGTTACGCTGGTATTGAGCTCCATAACTTGTGTTTGACGAGGATCTGGTCTACATTAGGATTTTATATCATGGAATAATCGATACACACTAGCATTGAGTGGTGGGATTGCATCGTTATGCAGTTCTGGAATGAGGAGCAGTTGCTGCAGAACTTTAGGATGTGGAAAGCCATCTTTCTGGAAGTGTGTGCTGAACTCATCCCTTCCCTGCAGTGCAAGGACACACAAATGAGAGCTGCCCTCTTGTTGCAGAAGCACTTGGTGATCACAGAGTGGAAGCTGGCGACACCAGGCTGCTACCGGTCAGTTGCAAATCAATTTGGAGTCGGAAAATCAGCCACTGCGGCTGTGTTAAGGCAAGTGTGCAGGGCCATTAATCACATCCTGCTACGAAGGACTGACTCCTACAACCTACCAGGGGTCTATATTCCTGCTTCTGGCTCACCTGATTGTGACTGCCCTGACTGGCTGCACACCTCTGGAGTGGAGAACAGCTCCTGACAGCACAAAGCACTGGGTGAACCCAGCACGGGCCCCACATCTTCTAACGCCTCCATCCCTTTATCAATGACTCTCTTCTGTGGGTTAAGTCCAATTTCCATCATCTTCAGACCCACCAAAATACCCACGGGGATCATGGCCATGGAGGTCATGTCACAGACGAGGATAGCAGGCCCTGACTGACCATTTGCCTCCCTTGCCTTCAGGTTCACGGCACTTCTGATACATGGTACTTCTGGTATGTGGCACTCAGCTCCTTCACCTTTCCTGTGCACTGCAGTGTGTCCTGGTCATGGCTCTTTTCCAACAAGCTGCACGAAATCTGCCCTTAGGTGTCGAAATTCCTTCGGCTGGAGCAGAGCTGGGACTGCACAGCCTCCTGTCCCCAAATACTGAGCAGATCCAGCAGCTCCGCAGTGTCCCAAGGCGTAGAGCGTTTGCTGTGTGGATCCACAATGGTCCCCTGAGAACAGGCAGTGTGAGCTCTCCACGCCAAACCGGAAGGGGAATTTCAAAATTCCCAGGCCTTTAAGCGGGGAGGGTCAGAAGGTGTTTACCTCGCTGCAGGGCAGAGGAGACAACAGCAGTCAGGATGGGCATCGTGGGATGCCTTTGGGAGAGGGGCGCAAGTGTCCATGCTGTCACGTTGTCGACAAAACTTTTGCGTAAAATATCTTACAACTCTTGTCAAGGTGGTTTTATTATGTCATTGAAACTGAGGCGTTCCATCATCAGTAGTGGCCTTGCAGTGTGGACACCTCCACTGTTTCTTTGCCAAAAGCTGCTTTTTAACCAAAAAAAAAAAAACTTGACAGTGTAGAGAAGGCCTAAGGAACAGTGATGGATAATCAGTATCCACCATAGTGTTTCCTGCTGGTGTCTATTAAGGTTTCCCACACCAAGAGGGGTAGGAATTATTGAGGCAGAGAGCACCATAAAATATGGAATTCTCATTAGTTGGATCATGTATTCATAATTCATTTATCTGAATAATGAAAATGTCATTTTTCAGTGTGTGAAGAGCGACCAATCTGCTTCACCCATAAGAACAGCCTCCAGTAGTGCATGTAGTGTCTCATATGAATATTCTCTCTTCATCCAGGTATTTGTACTGTGACCATCACCCTAAAACCTGGGCACATACAGGAAGCCAGTGGAGCGTACAGTATATGCAGGAGACACCGTTCAGCCTCAGAGTTGGACACCTTCCCCCTACTCCATGTCAGATTCCAACACAACAGACTTCACCAACCCCTCCACCTTCATCCTGCTGGGCATTCCTGGGCAGGAGGCAGCCCACATCTGGATCTCCATCCCCTTCTGCACCATGTACACCATAGCCGTCTTGGGGAACTTCACCATCCTGATAATTGTGAAGAGGGAGCCGAGCCTCCATGTGCCTATGTACTATTTCCTCTGCATGCTGGCCGTCAGTGACCTGCTTGTGTATACATCCACACTGCCCAAAATGCTGGCAATATTCTGGTTCAATTCCAGGGAGATCGATTTCAGTGCCTGCCTCACCCAGATGTACTTCATTCGCTGCTTCTCAGTGATGGAGTCTGGGATCCTTGTGGCCATGGCTTTTGATCGCTACGTGGCCATCTGCAATCCCCTGAGACATTCCACCATCCTGACAAACCCCTTTGTGGCCAAGATTGGCCTAGCCATGGTGCTGCGCGGCGGAATGGTCTCACTGCCCTATCCCTTCCTGGTGAGTCAGTGGCCATATTGCACAACCAACATCATCCCCCAGCCGTTCTGCACACATACAGCCGTGGTCAAGCTGGCCTGCGCTGACACCCGCGTCAATAGTTATTATGGCTTCTTTGTGCTTTTCTGTGTGTTTGGTCTGGATGGGATTTTTATTGCCATCTCCTATATCCTGATCCTCAGGGCCATCTTCAGCCTCCCCACAAAGGACGCCCGGCTCAAGACTTTTGGGACCTGCGGCTCCCACCTCTGTGTCATTTTAACCTCTTACTTCCCAGGGCTCTTCATCTCCCTCATGTACTGGTCTGGCCAGAATGTGCCTGGGCATATCCACATTTTCATTGCCAACTTGTACATCTTTATGCTCCCCATGCTAAACCCCATCATCTATGGGGTGAGGACCAAACAGATCCAGGACAGGCTGCTCCGGCTCTTTACTCATAAAGGGGCCTAACGTTTTCTCCTGGTGCTCTGGCTCTGAGATTGAGTTTCCGTTCAGAGCTGGCTTGTGACATAGTGCTGGGCCCTCTTCCCTGAAACACTGACTGCACTGTCAAAGGGACATGAAATCCTTTCCTGGCCTCACTGTGCCGTGTCTGCCTGACAAACGGAGGAATCAGTCTGGGTACAGCTCATTAACTCATAGGGTTGCCACCTTTCTAAAAACTGGTAACTGGACACCTGAGGGCCTGTGCCCTGCCCCACATATTCCCCAAGTCCTTGCCCCCTACCCCAGTCCCACGCATTTCCACAAGGCCCCTCCCACTCTGCCACCTATTCCTCCAAAGCTCCACTCTCTTATCCACCTCTTCCTTCAGGCCCCTCCTCACTTATGCCTCTTCCCCAAAAGCACCACCCCTGTTGCTGGCTCCTCCCCTCCCCAGCCCCAGTCACTCTCTGGATTATCTCCACCTCCCTCCACGCCCCCCCCCCCAGCTGGGGTCCCTCTGCTCTGGGACAGGAGCTGCTGCAGCCTGACAAGGAGCCTGTAGTGAGTACAGTGAGAACACAGTGCTGGGGCCGACAGACCAATGAGGAGTGGAGAGGGAAGCTAGGAAACCCTATAAGAGCAGTGGATGGTTGCTAGCAGGGTTGTAAGGAAGGTGGGCGAGATTGTGCATCATACAACTTGTGGGCCCTAAAGGTCAGCCACAAAGTCCTGAGGGAAGAGACCATTGTGTGGCTTATTTCCTTAGCTTTCAGTTCCCTTTTGTTCCTCCTGGCTGGGGGCCTGTAGCTGGCAGTGTGTGTGGGTACGGACTGGGAGTCCTTTGCCCTAACCCAGGTCTTGGGGCCGGGGTAAGAGATCAGCTTTGAAGCTAGGAGGACAACAGCTGAGTTAGGTGACAGGATAAGCCCCCATGCTAGATGAGAAGTCAGGATGCTGGGCATAGGACAGGGCGGCTTTGGTAAGTCACAGTGAAGGAGATAAATGGCAGATCTTCTATTATCTGGCTATTTATACACACATATGGCACCTTATCTGGAACGGCAGGGCACCCATTGCCCGGGGTGAAACTGAACAGCGAAGCTGAGTCTAACATACGCTCTTCATGATGATTTTGATCACTACATCTAGATTCACTTTTGCTAAACATCTTCAGCGTCATCATACAATTGGAGAATCATAGAATATTAGCGGTGGAAGAGACCTCAAGAGGTCATCTAGTTCAACCCCCTGCTCAAAGCAGGACCAACCCCAACTAAATCATCCCAGCCAGGGCTTTATCAAGCTGGGCCTTAAAAACCTCTAAGGATGGAAATTCCACCATCTCCCTGGGTAACCCATTCCAGTTCTTCCCTCCCCTCCTAGTCAAACAGTGTTTCCTAATAGCCAACCTAAAACTCCCCCACTGCAACTTGAGACCATTGCTCCTTGTTCTGTCATCTGCCACCACTGAGAACAGCCGAGTTCCATCCTCTTTGGAACCCCCCTTCAGGTAGTTGAAGGCAGTTGTCAAATCCCCCCTCACTCTTCTCCTCTGCAGACTACACAAGCCCAGTTCCCTCAGCCTCTCCTCGTAAGCCATGTGCCCAAACCCCCTTATCATATCCGTTGCCCTCCGCTGGACCTTCTCCAATTTGTCCACATTCTTTCTGTAGTGGGGGGGATGCAAAATTTGACACAGTTCTCCAGATGTGGCCTCACCAGTGCTGAATAGAAGGGAATAATCACGTCCTTGATCTGCTGGCAATGCTCCTACTAATACAGCCCAATATGCCGTAGGCCTCCTTGGCAACCAGTGCACACTGCTGACTCACATCCAGCTTCTCGTCCACTGTAATCCCCAGGTCCTTTTCTGCAGAAATACTGCTTAGCCAGTTGGTCCCCAGCCTGTAGTGGTGCATGGAATTCTTCCATCCTAATCGCAGGACTCTGCACTTGTTCTCGTTGAACCTCATCAGATTTCTTTTGGCTCAATCCTCCAATTTGTCTCGGTCACTCTGGACCCTATCCCTATCTTCCAGCATATGTACCTCTCCCCCCAGCTTTAAGACAGGATGTAGATCTGTCATAACTATAAAGGGAAGGGTAACAGCCCTCCTGTGTACAATACTATAAAATCCCTCCTGGCCAGAGACTCCAAAATCCTTTTACCTGTAAAGGGTTAAGAAGCTCAGGTAACCTGGCTGACACCTGACCCAAAGGACCAATAAGGGAACAAGATACTTTCAAATCTTCATGCGGGGAAGGCTTTTGTTTGTGCTTTTTGTTTTGGGGGTTGTTCGCCCTTGGGACTGAGAGGGACCAGACATCATTCCAGGTTCTCCAAATCTTTCTGAACAAGTCTTTCATATTTCCAACCTGTAAGTAAACAGCCAGGCAAGGCGTGTTAGTTTTTATCTTTTTTTTCTCAACTTGTAAATGTACCTTTTACTAGGGTGTTTATCTCTGTTTGCTGTAACTTTGAACCTAGGGCTAGAGGGGATTCCTCCTAACTCTTTAAGTTTGATTACCCTGTAAAGTTAGTTTCCATCCTGATTTTACAAAGATGATTTTTACCTTTTTCTTTAATTAAAAGCCTTCTTTTTATGAACCTGATTGATTTTTCCTTGTTTTTAGATCCAAGGGGGTTGGATCTTGATCCACCAGGAGTTGGTGGGAGGAAGGAGGGGGATGGTTAATTTCTCCTTGTTTTAAGATCCAAGGGGTTTGGATCTGTATTCACCAGAGAATTGGTGAAGGTCTCTCAAGGCTACCCAGGGAAGGGAATTAGCACTTTGGTAGTTAAGCTTAGAAGTTTTCATGCAGGCCCCCAAAATTGTACCCTAAAGTTCAGAGTGGGGAAGCAGCCTTGACAAGATGCAACTGAATAAATCATTGTCTGTGATGCTGGAGAGGGAGCTTCACCTTACCCGAGAAATCACAGGTTTCCACCGTAAAACGATGACGCTCATCCAGCAGCACAGTGGGGGATGGTGTTG